GGATTTTTGTTTTAGATTCCATCACTCACAGTTGAAGAGTACCTATGATTAAAAATTACAATCATCTACAAGCTTTGCAAGTGGGAAAACCTGAAAAATCAACAGTGTATCAAATACTTGATCTCCCCACTATACGACATAATTTCAATGTTGATGTGAATAATCTCAGGAAAAACTTCCAACATCACCAATATTTACTGTTCCTACAAACCTTGTCATTTAAGATACTTTTAATTGAAATAATAACTGTAGCCCTCCGCTGAATCATAGATACTACAACTGGTTTTGCCTCTAGTTGTGTAATATTTACACTGTAAAMTATCATATATTTGACTATTTTTACATCTATTACACAAACCTGACCTGTTGAGAAGATGGTTTGTAAATATCAGAAGAGAGGAGTTTCATTCTAAATATATRATTTTCTTGTCTATAATCTTACTGTTTAAGTGATTGTTGTAAGAAAATAACATAATCATATTAATTTATTGTAAAAATAATACAGATAATTTGTGACACAGATCCAGTTGGACTTACTGTTAATCTAGTAGCTGCTATGATGGCTGTGAGCTGCATGGTCGCGATTTTTAGGCTTCTGTGTTGTCACAGATGCTAATAATGGATGGGATAGGCAGGGCTACCTCTAGGGTAATTTAACTCTATGGTCTATATCCAGATACTCTCAAAAACAGCTCCAAACATTCTAAACAATGTTGATCACTTTCCCCACACTTCAAAGTTTAGATTAATTTAGATATGTTACTATCTCTAAGAAAAAATAAAGAAAGAAATGAGTGCATGCACAGGACAATGACTCACTGCATTATGTGTACAGCTTTGTTTCTGTAACTTCAACATGCAAACAGCTCATCCTCATTTTCAAACTCGTCTGCACTATTAGATACTTTTGCAAGAAGCTCATTTATAGCTGTCTCAGTGTGAACGCCGCACAACTGGGGAGTGTGTTTTTACAGCACAAATGCAATTTATAAAACATAAAAGCATCTACA